CTCTTCAGAAACCCAAAGCTTCAGGCAAGAAAGCAGCCACAAATGTGGCTTTTTTTTCTTGGGATTGTTTCCAGTTCTTTATTTTCATGAATATCCATCCAGACTGGGTGTAGGGCAGACTGCACAGAGACCCTTAACATATTGAACTCCTTGACAATAAACAGGCAAGGTGGCCCACGCTCTTCAAGCAGAGCTATTTTCCTGTAAGGTCGTGTTTTCCACACCAGAAGAGATCATTAGATCACCATGTATGGTAACAGATTGCTTTGAATACCTGCATAAATGTGCTTATTCTGTAATGATGTCACTTTTAAGTTACTATGATTGAACTCTTCAGCCAAAAAGGTTTTTTCTCCAGCCTTCAAACTATTTTCGATTTTTTTTTCATATTACCCTTTTTTAACACAACCTTACTCAAATGCAAATACCTGTAAATACAGACAAAAAGTTTGTCCAGTGCTCTGCACCGTAAAAGCCTACTCACTCTAAATAGAAATTTAAGTACATGGGATTTGTCCATCACTTCTTCAGTCTTAGTTTACAACTGTCTCCCAAAACTTACCCTGCTCAAGGAGCTGAGCCCTGATCAGCAGAATCAAGAACTTTTCCCTTACTGAAGAAAATTACAGAAGATACTGAAGAAAGGGAAAGAGAAGGAAAGAAAATAGACTATTACCCTGGTAAAATGATGACAGTGCATGGGAAGGATTGACATAAAAGAGCAAAAAAAAGTAGCTTTCTTAGAAGTTAAACAGTCACGAGAAAAGCTATTTTCGCTGCCATTTGAGAAAGGGACTTCTGATTTTAAAGAATATTGCAATAATCTGGTTATGTGATTTAAGATTAAATAGAAAGCTAAAGTATATGTTGTCACTTTTTTCTTTAATGAAATGCTACACTTAAATGTCTTCATTTGAAAATAATCTGTATGTGGGTTTTTTTTAAAAATAGCATCAACTTGGTAGTTAGGAAAAAAAGGTTCACAATGTGCTTATGGCTGACTGAATCTGGAGGTTAGCTAAGATGTTATCTCTGCTTGTCAGTCCTGCACTGCTCTTGAATGCAGTCTCCACAAGACTGCTGATGCAACTCATACCTTTTTCGATTTCAGAGTTTAAACAAAATTTGCTGGTGTATGGAATGTTTTGTTAAAGGAAGAAATTGAGAATACAAGTGCATGTTTTTATTTATTAAGAAAAGCATAGAATTGTATTTCCTCACATACAAAGAATCAAAGAATCTGAGATGGTTACTTTTATCATAATCCCAGGCCTCTTCTGGCTTTCAGATTTTTTTCAGTGTTGTTTCTCAGGATCAAACTGTTAGTGCCCCTGTCCTGCCTTCTTCATCTCCCCTTGTCATAATGTCCCTGCTTCACCTTGCTGCCTGTACTTTTTTACACACCTGTTTTGAGGACAATGATTGCCCAGTTTTGGTGGAGACTCATATTGCTGTAGGTACCTAATTCCACAAAGCAGCTCTACAGCTGTTTATAACTATTTTGAATTAAGGTTTACGTCAAAACATTGAAAGCAAACTCTAACTTCAGGAACACCCTCTACAAGCAATTTTCACAAATAACCCATGCCTCAGGGCGTTATTTTGAGGCACCACAATTTTACTTTCAAAAAGCAGGTCCCACATGTATTTCTGCATGGGCAATCCACAAACTGAGTGGCAGATTTATTTGGGCCATAATACACCAAATAGCACTTTTCAAGCACATCAGTGTAACTGACTACAATTCATCCACGCTATTACTAACTCCTACTTGCCCTTGTTTCCAGAAGCCCTGAGAAAATAGCAAAAGAAAAGGCAACTATTGCAGGTGAACATCGTGGCTGATCTGCACTACTGTATCACTGCTGCATCATAAATTCAGTACTTTAATGAGCTCTCACCTCCCATCCAAAGCACATGAAGCCAGCTAATACATGTCAATGCCAGCCAATCTAGGAAGGGAAGCTTCAGGCCATGTTCAGACAACTTACTTGGCACACCACCAGAGCAAAGGAGCAACTTTCAAGCAAGCCTCATTTGAATTGCTGACAGGATTTTCCATCATCTTCATTTACACCTCTTGAAAGAGTGCTTGGTTAAGACATTTTAAAGGACAATTGGCAATATATCCCTTGTGTCCGTAAATTAATTGTTTGAGCATGACAGAAATTCACATTGAAGAAAAGTCACTACTAAACTAGCAGAGGACACATATAAATCACCTGCAAATTAAAGCATTGAATGACAGAAAGTGAGAATGAAATCCATTTCCTTAACCAAGAAGCAGTGCCACAGAGCCAGGAGAACTTGAGCCAAGCCGAGCTTCCATTGCAATTTACCATGGAGTATTTACAAGGTGGAAATACAAAGGTTATGGCTACAGGACTTTTCAGAGCAGTAATTTCTCAGAGAAACTGATCATGAAACAAAAACCTCTTTCTTAATTACTTTAAATTCTTTTTTTTTTTTTTTCTGTGTAATACTATTTAGGTCACCTGAGTATATTAAAACAGTCAAAGATTTACAGTCAGATGCAATTACATCAAACTTTCCAAGGGATTTCCAGGTGTTTTCTGGAATTGATGCATAGCATAAGGATAGCTGTCTAGAGTTTTGTACATCATAGCATTTTTATACATGTTTGCATTTTAAACGTGGTCTATATAAAATACAGGCATCTCAGATTTAACTTGCATGCTATTTTACATGGGAATAAGCCCAGAAGTTCCAGTTATCTGATAGTTTGGACATTGAATTTGGAAAAATGTTATTGCTTTAATTCCAGACTGACGTGTTCCATAGCCAAAAACAGGGCAGAGGCATTGTCTGATTTTTTTTCTTTAAGAGTATTATTTTTTTTTTTTTTTTTTGCTTATGGGCGCAATAATGAGCTTTACCAGGTGTCTTGAGTTCCTTTAGCCATGGTGGGAGATGCAATATGCATTCTTCTGTGGGTTCCAGCCTAAGGATTATTTTGTAGTTGAACAGGGTCTTACCCTCGGGTGGCCCTTGGTTGAACTTTATTTTGGAAGTGAACCAGCATATTTTCCAGTATTGGGATAGATGAGGTCGAAGCAGTTTTCCTTCTCCATTTGCTACACACATAGCTAAAGCACAGCCACTGTGATTAGGATGAGATATTACAACAAGGATGTAGTGGCTCCTTCACTCTCCAAAATATGTGCACAATGTTAATAAAATCAGTCTTGCATATCTTATATGTTCAATATCTCCTTGCTGGCCCTCTGCATCTTTCTGGTGCCATCAATCAGAGGAACACTGTCTCCAGTATGAAGGAAGAAGCTTTCTGAAAACTCAGACTCAAGGAAACTTATTTTACTTTCCCACAGGTGCTTGCAAGTGGCTAAGGCTGTTTTCAAGATGTTCATACATTTTCTGGATGTCAATTAAAAAAAAAAAAGAATCCTTTTGAGGCTTCATTCTTTGTGTTTCTCAAATCCTGACCTTAACAAGTATCTCTTCTGTGATTATGGAGATTGTTTAAGCCAGGAAACAAAATATTGTATTTTTAGATACATCATTGTATCACAGATACCTAACAGGTCTTAGTCTTGGGGAAAAAATTAAATTATTCCCTTTCTCTTAAAGCATTTTCTGCGGAAACTTAAACTCAGCAGGTAAACCAAGCAAAGTGTGTAGGCCATTATAAAATATGGCCAAAGGGCCTTTTATATTATTACCTATCATGTGCGTCTTTTCCTTGTTATTATCCCATCATTAAACTATCCTCATGAGAGCTCTAAATTTGTGTCACCCAATGCAACAAACTCTTGTTGTGACAAAGTTTCCTCACATTCCCATGGTCCATTCTTCTCCAGACAGCACAACTTAGGTGATACAGCTTGTGGATGCCTACGGATTCAGAAAACAACTGCCTTCTTGCAGACGTTTGTGCCAGAAGGCAAACACAGCACTAAGTATCATCACCATGAGAACAACAGCAAGTGCGTTGGAAAAGAGGAAGGAGGAAGTCAAGCAACAGAGAAGGAAATACGAGGATTGTAAGAGGGAGGAATGGGCCTGCAGCACTCACCACCACAGTTTCGGTGTGAGGAGCTGTCTCCTTTCCAAATGCCACACAGAATCTGTTATTTTGTATCTGGCAGAGGCTGTGAAATCATACTTCTGCAATAATATATTTAAGAGAAATACAACAAACTGGTAACTGAACAGGTGACAAGGTTAGATGGACAACACCAGCCTTCATATTGCATTGTATTTTATCGGGTGCCCATGGGCAGAGACCTTTGTTAAAACAGGCTTTAAAAAGCTTTCAAAACAAAATATCCAAACCAGATCACCACAAAGGTGCATATGTTTTTGTTTTTAACAGTTTCCACAGAGAGCATCATCCTGAAGTTTGCCAGAGAAAGCTGAAGGAGGGTCTTGCATGGAGCACAGAGATCAGGTATGCTGGGGAAGGGAAGCAGCTCCCGGTGTCTGTGTGTGTGCAGTGAGACACCTGCCAGCTCTTCACAAACAAACCTTGTGTTCAGGGAGCTCACTTCAAAGAACTACTTTAAATGCTGAAAGAATTACATCGATTTTATAAAAACAAACTTGCATATGTCTCAGAAAGAGCTGTCTAGGTGCCTGCCTCATACTGAAATCTTTAGAGCATAACAACGGTTACGTGCGTTGCCATATTTACCGGTTATCCCAGATTCCTAAATCCACTGTTTGGCTGGAGTCCTGGCCGGCTCCTGGGGGTGCACAGCTCCGTGCCGGGAGCGGGGCTGAGGAGGCAGGGGGTTGATCCCGCCCCAGTGTCCGTCCCGGTGCCTCGGGAAAGCACCCGGCGCTGCCTGGCCGTGCGGTGGAAGGGGGAGCGGGCAAGAAGTGCGTGGGGTCACAAAGGAGCAACAGGAGAGGAAGAAGCGCCACCGGGGCGGGGGCCGGGGCGGCTCGGCCGCCCGACGGGCGGTGGCCGCCGGCGGGGGTGGCGGAGCGGCC